GAAACACAGATGGATACTGCCTGCTATCAAATTGGTGCGCCAGCCCCGACGCACCATATGCTTCAACCCCCGGCTATGGAAGCGCTAATGGCGGTTCCCACACATGATACTGATGACCACTTGCCCACGTCGCATGCCGAGTTTAAACAGATGCAAGTAAGGGAGGTCGAGTTGGCAAATATCATTGCAATTCTATAGGCTCCCAACGTGCCCCTGCAGAAACGCAGGCTAGTCACCAACTTCTATATCACCGATGGGCTACTTTACCACCTCGCTGCAACAGGTTTCCCGGCTCCACCACGCGTACAAGTTGTCATGCCTAGGGCATTGGTCACACAGGTCATGGAGGAGTGCCACAGACATCTACATGCCGGACATTTGGGATTCGACAAGACTTATCGCAAAGTAGCAGAGAGATACTATTGGAGCCGTATGTATGCAGACATTCAGAAGTACGTCAAGTCATGTGTTACTTGCAACTCTCGCAAGCTACAACGCATACGCGCGCCACTTCATGAAGGCCCACTTCCCACTGCGCCTAACCAAACGGTAAGCATAGACGTCGTTGGGCCGTTACCGATCACGAACCAGGGCAACCGCTACATAGTCACCTTTGTTGACCTTTATTCTTCATACCCAGAGGTATATCCGGTGAGCAACAAGTCTGCTGCAACAATAGCTAACCTCATAGTCAACTGTTTTATCCCCACCCATGGCTGCCCCTTCAACCTACTCACTGATCGAGGTCTTGAATTCTGCAACGTACTGATGGCTCGTATCTCTGCTGTATTCCGCATCCACCACATCAAGACAGCCCCCTTCCACCCGGCTAGCAACGGCGTTTGTAAGCGTTTCCATCGGTCTCTTAACGCCATGTTAGCGCGCTTTGTGAACGACTGCCACACAAACTGGGATGAAAAACTAGCACCTGTGCTTTTCGCCTATCGAACTGCGGAACATGCCACCAGTGGGCACACGCCATTCTTTCTTCTCACGTACGGACGCGATGCTGTCCTACCGCTTGATACGTTGCTACAGCCACGTCATGTCAATTACGCAACCGACCCCGTCTCCATTGCATTGGACAGGTTACACGAGGCATGCACAACTATTCGAGAGCGCACTCAGCGAGCTCGAAGACGTAACAAAGAGTTGTATGATAAATGTGCCAAAGAGCAGCTTTTCCAACCCGGCGATTCGGTTTACTGGCACAACCCAGTCGTACCCATTGGGGCTTCTCGTAAGTTTGGCAAATATTGGAAACCGTATTTCATTATCGTTCAACAACTGTCGCCAGTCAAATTTAGGATTAAGCATGTCTACACTGCTCGCACGTATGAAGTGCATGTTGACAGTTTGCGCCCCGCCTTCCCGCAAGGAGCATGGGACGGCGTGGTAACTGACGCTGCAGCACCGGTGGAACAGGCTGTTGGCACACGAGTTCAACCCCCACGAGCAGCACACCTGGTACAACCTGCATCATTTACGGACGAAGACTCCGACGACGATGAAGAATCACAATCCGTGCCCTCACAATGGGAGGAAGAAGACCTTCTTCCGCTTTCAACCCTCCGACAGAAGCAGAAAATGGATTAATCATACTACATACTACGAATACACTTAACGCTTTCCCTTGCAGTTTGTGTGAAGCGCTCTTCAGCCTCAGCATTATTGCTACGGCTGCACCACCGGGTATCATGCAACCAACGCAGGGAGCAATCTTCGTCCCTAGAGGCAAACTGGCGCTATCACAGAGCACATGTGCCATCGCTTTCACTGTCAACACATCCATCCTTGATCAGTACCTTACTAAACTTCACACTGAGCTTGTAAACCTCACTATACCCACAAACCCATACCATGCGAGTGAACCAACCAATAACGAAAGGCACAATCGACTAATGCGTTTTACTAACCAGCTTCACACAATGATTGTTAGTCACCTGCAATGGTTTACCGACAAGTACTCCCTACTAAACGCACGCACAAGAGACCTACATTCGTTTCACCGAGGTCGCTTTCCCCGGGCTATAATTGCAAGAATAAGAAAACTTTCGAAATTTCTTTTTGGCACAGCAACAGAAAAAGATTTAGAATATTTGGAGAACTAATTGTCTGCCATGCAGCTGTCTCAAACACACATGTCACAAATTATTGACGACAGTCTAACTGTCATTAATTTAACCTGTTTAAATACACAGCTTAACACCCAGAAATTGGACAAAGTTATCCGTTACACAGTACGTGGCTGGTTCGGTTGACGAAATAGCTCGGGATCTTGCTGACTATCGCGAGTATACACTACTAGAATTTAAGTATATCACACGACTACATCTAACGCTCAGTAGGTTGACACTCGCTTTTGAGCAAATCGAGGATGCATTGGAGTTTATCTCACATTCAGTCGACACCCTCCTCAGCAGCCGTTTACCCGTCGCATTATTACCACCGCATCAGTTGTCACGCATCCTCGATGTCATTCGGCTTGGACTGCCTATGTCATTGGAACTTCCGTACGCAGCCAGTAGTGCTTTACTTCGCTATTACGACACCATCCAGACCATTGTTGTCCCAGGTTATCAGGGATTCCATGTACTTGCCTGTATTCCGCTCCAGAGGCGTGACCTTACCTTCGACACATATGAGCTATTCACGGTTCCTGTCTATCTCTCGGGATCTAATACATCTACCGCGGTAGCCGCAAGATATGTCACCGAACAGAGGTATGTCGCAATCACCAGCGATTATACGTCTTATATTGAACCAGATACCCACACAACACACAGGTGCCTTGATGAACAGCGACAAGTTTGCCCACTGAACACACCCGTATACCCCACTACTGCCATCCATTCGTGCGGGATTGCCCTTTTCCGTAACCTCACGCAATTCATTAATACACATTGCAAGCGTACAGTCGCATTTACGATGTCTCCAAGACTTACTGCACACTATCTCTCTAACGGGAATTATTATTATATTATTGTTACACCATTCTCTTTCCGGCTCACAAAAGTGTGCCAGGAGGGCCAGGCCGGCTTTCCAGTTGTTGAACACCTCATTGTTGGTGCTACAGGGCAACAACTCATTACCCTAGAGTCAGGATGTAAGGCAGATTGCCAATACTTCCACCTACCCCCATACTTCCGCCATCAGTCAACAGGTGATGTAACCCCACCCTTTTTTTTAGCATTTCTTGACATCCCGGTTATTCCTGAAATCTGGCGCCAATTCCTTGAAACTGCCAAACACCCTACTAATCTCACTGCACTCCTGCCTACCATTCACACATCAGTTCCAAGCGACATGTACCGCCACACCGATTTGGACGTTGCATTTGATAGACTTGCCACTGCAGTCAGCGCCAGCGAACCTTTGTTGCCTCCCAATCCAAACCACGTTACTCAGTTCCGCACTCACCGCTCGGCTGTGTATGGATCAATGGGATCCATACTCATTATCATAATAGTAATAGCGGTTGTGACATGCAGCCTTAAAACGACAGCACCCAACTACCAGTTTCTTCGCCGCTGCTTCCGCCATCGTCAGTCTTACTGGGTAGGCAACGATGAGGCTCGGGCCGGAATCCCGCTGCAGCTGGTGGGGCTAGCACCACCAGCAGCTAACGTGGAGGCACCGGTCGAGAAACAAGCACATCCTACGGGGTTTGTGCAAGTCATCCGTACAGCTTCTACCGTGACGACGCCTGTTTAAGGGGTGTCGCTATGAGTCGTTAGCGACATCTGGCATTCTAATTTATGGGCGACCGTGCGTAGAAGCGTGTATTATTGCATCTCTATTATTGTATTGATTAAACCGGCAAGATTGTTTGTTTCCCCGAGGAAGTAGTTTCCCTGTATATGTGTGTGTGACTATTTAGGCATGCGTAATTATTATAATTATACTTTACAGTAGCACCAATCGTCGTCACGCATAGCGATAGACAACGACTTGGACATAGTGCTAGGGTTGAGAGCATGCAACAGTAGTAGTAGAGGCACTAGCTTGGCACGTACAGCAAGCATGTATAACTTTTATTTTACCCCGTTAATCATGTCCATTCAAAGTACGACCCGACCGGGTCAGCCAGTCTCATTAGTTTTCGCTCCAGCTCTTCACGATTAATAAGTAATTGTGCTAACCAGTTCCTACTCTTTCCCTCCATCTGTAAAGCGCCCACGATAAACCTTCACCACCACAAGCGGCAATAGAAGACGAGACATTCGCTAGAGGTGTCCGCACGACAACTACCCGACTGGCCGTGGATTAGGACGAGGACGCCCCATCCACTGCCATGACATATTCGGGCAGCTTCCATTGCGACCTTCGACGCCGAACGAGAGGTTTATGCCCCGCACCCTAGTTTTGGCCAGCACATCCAGACCATACAGCTGAAACCCTGTCCAGGGAACCAGGCTTTACAACCAGCTGACCCACCTTAAGCAGAGACATCGGGAGGACATCACTGCACTGGAGGTGGCGCTTGCGCGTGCAAACGCTGCATGCGCAGAGGCTGAGAAGATGGCTGACCGCCAGATGCACGCGTCCACCAACCTGCTGACCGACATAGCCAGGCGTGCACAGTCGCTGCAGACAAACCTGGACCACGCCCGGATCGACTTCGCCCAGGTTCTCCATGAGAAGCAGAACCTTAAGATTGAACTGCAGTATTCGCACTCTCGCATCAACGAGATGACGATAGAGTTCAGCAGAACATTAGCGGATACATCGCAACTGCAGTATGAGCTATCCATCGCCCAGAGCGAGCCACACTTCGCCCGCGAGGCCTTCCAGGACACAACGACACCAGGACACCGGACACCAGGACGCCAGGACACCGGACACAAGGACACAACGACACCAGGACACCGAACACCAGGACACCAGCACGACAGCACGACCTGATTCGTCCCCGACCCGTCGGCTCGCCATCAACGCCGTCGGCCTCAACATCGTCTAAGATGAACTACTATTCTACCCTCTTCTTTCTCCTTCCATCACTCTGTTCATTACAAATTCCTTTTCGCTACTTTCCCTTTCGGCACTGCGTTTCTTTTCTCTCCCACTCTTCTACCTACTCTTTCCCTACCCTCCTTTCCATAAACACGTATCAGCTTATTGGTTTACCTTTAATTCCCTAGTATTTCCTATCTATTTGCTCATTTACTGCTTATCAATTGCCTATGTCATGTATTTCATATTGCCTGCTTATTTTATTATATTATTGCGTTTCCACTGCCGTATTTCCCCGTGTTTTAATCCGTATTTATTCATAACAGTTTTAATTTACTGCTTATATGTTTGAGATTTTATTGCTGTTACCATGAATTTTGCTTTCACCTGCGCTTCAATTTTGTTTTGTCGCTACATTTCGCGCTAAGTTTTTCTGTATTTCTGCTTTACATGCTATTGTTATTACTGCACTTCATTACTATGCTTCCTTGCTTTGCTCATTCGGATTGTCATCTTGTTTACAAAATTTTATCCTAGTGCATTTCCTGCCTTTCGCCAATCACTGCTAACGGCTACATCTTCTACCTATACCTATGCTACCCCTTCATTAATCACATCTCTAAATTCACATCAAACTTAACTAAAGTAATACGATCTTCATTCACTGCGGCAAATGACATTACCGTTGCTCTCCAACCGGAATTTTTACACCCCATTTAGTAGAGCAGCCGGAACTGCATTGACGATGGGTCATCGTCATTCCCCGGCGTGGGGGGAAATGTAGCAATGTAGCTAACGTCATTCCGCGAACGCATTTAATACCAGCTCACACACAGGCTAATGTTACACTATTACCAGCAGCAGAACATCCACCCAGCATAATCTTACACCTCACCAGCTGGCTAAAAGACTGATTTATCTGCCGGACACACAAACAGATGTTAAAATTAGTTCCACAGTAAACAGAACTTAATAGTAATTGTGCTTCGCTCGGTTACAAACTAGGTACACACGTCGGCCGCATCACTGTCCACAGTGCGGGTTAGCTTACAACGGTTGAGATCTTAAATACACACCTTAGCCGCATCACTACATTAATACTGTTCAGCGGTCGGCAAGAACATACACACATTAGCATAACGTTGTTTTTACACAGCTGCTAAACAGCTGTTCTACACTGAAGATACACACATTAGCCGCTTCTCTCCCATTACTACCGGGCAGCTTGCGGCTAAATACAAACTAGATATACACATTAGCCGAATGAAGATATTTCCAGAAGACTGTTAACGCTCAATTACGGTAAGCGATCATCCAGCATACGTCATACCCACGCCACCTACGTTGGGCACCCACGTGGACGACGGGGCGTAAACACATCGGCCCACTCGTTACTCGCCATTGGCCGTCCACTCTATCCCACTCTACAAACTGACCATAGCCAATAATTCCAACCCTCTACCGTCCCTGTAGTCAGCAGTGATTGGCAGAAACATATTTGGTAAGAGATTCACGGCTAATTTTACAAAGGGAGGTATAAGAGAGCTCGCGCGGAAGAGACGAGGCTCTCGTGTACCCAACCCTCGGTTGCTCGTTTGTATGTGCATTGTGAAACCTTTAGTTTAACCTGTGTGATTTGTACGTGTTTTAGAGAGTATATAATATACGGTGAAACGGCAGTTTGTAATCTACATCAGTCTACTCTCATTTTATTCCTGTTTTACACACAATTACACGGCGCACATAGCACGCAAGCTACAGCGCACAGTCGCCTGGCAGCAGAAAGAGACCCAGCGACTACATTGACCGAGGGCAGTCTGACATTATATGCTGTGCATTAAGTAATACAGAGGCAAGCCAATCTCAGCCAGATCACGTTGAATGGTAGAACCAACTCGGGTCGTTGTATGCCGGGGGAGGGGAGTGTCAGTATCGTTGCAAATCATACGCAGCAGCCATGGCACCACCATCCTGCTGATTGTGCACTCCCTTGGCGTTCCTAACATACCATTCGTTGTCGAACTCTGTCGCACCTCCCTGCAAACACAGTCATAGACAAAATACATACCACACATACATCATATTGTATTATATAAATATTGATATACATCGATTGAATTATATATTTATTTATTCATTTATTTATATTTTTTGATGTATTATGTGAAAGAAGGCTTATGAATTCTGGAAGCTTTACTCTCACTCCTGAAGCTACAGCTTCACCTTAACACTGATAATACCGTATAATGCCCACATTTACTAAATTTATTCGCAAGCTTCACGATTTATGCAATTGTTTACTTGCATAACTCGCATGGTACATGCTCGTGTATGTGTAAGTGTACGTGTACATGCCTGTATATATAGATATACATAGATACATAGATATATATAGTAGATATACGTGTGTGTATACGTGTACGTGTAAGTGCGTGTGTACGTGCGTGTATGTATGTTTATGAGCAACATGTTTTACCTGTGGAACTGCGGGAAGGTCATGGATACGGACAGAAACTCGTCGATCTCTCTCTTCGTTCTCCGTATTCTGTTGGCTCGCATTCATTTTCCTCCTCCGAATAACAACGAATAAACATCGAAAAACACTGATGACATCGCAAATCAGGTTGGTTAGGAAAGGTAGAATTACCACCATTAACCAGAATATCAAAAAGATGATACCTGCCCCACCTGTATATAACAACAAACACCGACGTCAATACCGTATCATTACCGTATCGTGACCGATTAATACATACAGTGAAATTACACAAACATTCAGTTCACGTAATGCTATAAATGACTGGTTTGACCTAAACATTAAAAAACAAGTGTATTATACTATTTTTATTATGTTCTGCTATATTCTATATTCTAGAATATTATATGTCAAATTTAACATACCCTTGCTGGCTGCAAACCCAGACACAGTTGGACCTGTAAAAACACATCTTTTAGCGATTCAAATTGATAAAAGAACTGCAATAAAAATAATGACATACATGCTGTGCACACAAAAAATATATGGTACTGTTTAATATCGTAGATAGCTCTGAAATACCATGTTTTCCGAAAAACAATTCACAGCCAGAATGATAAATGAAAGCATAAACATACACAGTAAATAATACATAGTTAGTGTACACCAGAAAAATACATTTTCCCTAAACATTCAAACATAAGATTCGAAATTGAAGAACGGCAGCCAGTTAAGACCAACTCACACTTTGTGGACTCCTGGTGGCACTGTTCCCTAGACACACAGGACTCACATACCCACGCGCACGTGTTATCCAGGCAGGTAAAGTCACTCGTGTGCTCACTGCAGTTAGTCAGATAACAATCGGATATGCCCTGCCACATTGGCTCCACACCGAAGTCGCCTCGGTACTGTGGCGGTTCCGGTACGCACGTTGGCCAGTCATCCCTGCAAAATGTGGCGCGACCACAAGCTCATCAGAGTAGCAATAGTAAAGGTTCGTAACCCCCCCCCCCCCGACGCCTACTGACAGGAAGATTGCGAAAGTTAGTCCGGTGAAAGGTCACGAAGTGTAAAATTCCTACTAGCTGTGGCTCTGAGAGATGATCGATATACATTAAATCGTAAGATCTCACAAAGTTCAATGATCAACTGTGTCCATCTCTCGGATTGCTTACGATTTAAGTGTGTACTGGTCTTGGCAGTGACCGTAGCTGGCAGCAGACGTGCACGGACAATCACAAGCTTCTGGACGAGTGTCCCTGCATGTTGGATACTGGTCCTAGACAGACGAGACAGCACAAGGCATTCAAATAGTCATGCAGCGCTCATTCGTTGACCGTACCATCCAGGTATATACGCCTAGCGACCACCCTACATTCTATTATTTCTCCATCTTATGAGACTAGGGTTGAAACTAGGACAGTTTATCATCATAGAATCATAGAATCGAATAAGCTCGAATAATCTACATAAGACAGCATTCTGGATCTGTGCCCCATAAAGCCGGTCCAGGCCACTATTTCACACCTGCATAGGATGAGAACGTTGCTTTACTGCTCATACTATGGCTTTAATTACTAGTCATACTATGGCTTACTAGATTGCGCAGATCACACGCAGTGCAGTGTCGTCGCTTTGAGGGCATGTTGGTCGAGCCCTTCTGCTGCTTAGAACATTCCTTCTCATCAAACAGTACAGCGATGTAGACGTTAGAGTCCTCGACAGGCCACAGCTGGTACTGACTGCACCTTCCTGCCTCTCCATATGCACTACTCGTCATCTCGGCCATCTGGAAACATTTCAGCTCGCGATTAACTCATTATGTCTTCATTTGGTCTTCACTCTCAGATTGGATTTATCATCCCCTCATTCACATTTTGATATCTCTCACCTTATTCTATCCCTCGCTTTGACCCCCCCCCCCTTTTCTCTTGCTTAACAAATTATAATGTAGGAATATTATATTGTATACCTTATCTACCTATAAATAAATTATATATATATATATATATAGTGATTGCTTGTACACATTTATTGCTAATGCATGTTTTACCTGTACAGGTGTTTTGTGATGGACAGCAGTGGTTTTATTGTCATACACAACGATTTTATCAAGCATGCCTCACCAGGTTGTGACTTCGACTTGCAATCAGCTAGAGCTCATGCAGAAAACGTTCATATTACTGGAAAGGTACATAATTTCCCGCAGCTGTACCTGATATAGTATCGCTACATGCTACAATATCAGTAGTGTGGTAGAATAGAAACTGCAGATTTGTTTCCCATACGTATAACTTAATTGTTCATTCCCATCGCGTGTTTTATAAAGTAAGAACTATCGATTGAATATGAGCAGGCGTAATAAAATAAATTCTGAATAATTCCTCGCGTCGTCTGCTATGAATTGTATGACCTTTGAGCATGTTCGTATTTGGTTTCAGAGTGATCTGTTTGGTGTGGCTGAAGATCTCATAGAAAAGGGATTGTTAAAGAAGCAAGCCTGTGTGAACTTCCAGAGCACTAAATACCAACACTATTGGCAGGTACCACCAACAAAAATTATAGTTAGTAACTATCGAGTAAAATTGTGTGAGTGAGAAAATAAATATTAAACGTCTGGCTAGAAGCAACAGTAGATGCCTCAAAATTATCCCAAGCAAGACTGACATCCACAAACATTCATTTTTCGTGCAGACAATCATGGATTTGAACCAGCTGGAGGACAATATCGTCTGTGCTAAATCAGTTGAGGCCTTTAAAACAAGCCTAAACTGTGACTAAACAGGCAACCCTCTCTCGACTCCCACCGACGCCACGCCAGAATTGGTTACTGTCGATGTATCCTATCAAGATCAAGATCAAACTCATCAGCCCTAACTTGGCTATCACTGCATTCATGCCTGCATCCGTAACAATCACCATGTATGTCTGATATTGTTGGCCCTACGTTACTCCAAACTGCTAACCTTGTATCATATTTTTTGGCGATTGCTGACTTGCCATTGCAAGCGTCATTCATGGCCAGCAGACTGTAGAAGTGAGAGAGTGTGTAGTCCGCTCCCATTACAGCACTGACAGTGGCGACACCTGTGTTGCCTCGAGACTTGGCTGGCTAATAAACAAACAAATGTCGTCTTTACTATATCAAGCTTAAAATATCACGTGGGGCACTGCACATTACTGCATGATAAATCACATGCCTTCAGTCACTGTTCCTGTTCATACTTGTAACTGCCATTTACAACCTTGAAAATGCAGAATCACTCCCATATTTTACGGCCATATTACATTTAGATATTAGATATTGTATTTAGATTTTAGATATATCATTATTATTATATTTTATTAGATATTAGATATTAGATTATTATGGAGATCTTTTCTGGACATTCTACACAAGCCTGCGATACATTGCTTCGTATCTAGTGTATGACGTTGTGAGAGGGGACGTGAATTCGACTATACCTGGACTATTGTGTGACTGAGAGTGACGACGTAACCAACGTCAGCAGCGAGGGCGTCTCTGTAGGGCGCTGATATCGTCAGCTTACCTGGATTACTCATCGCACGCAGATACCTGAGGAGAACAACACAAACTGGAATGCTCAACTACATTTCATGTCATATCACAAATACAATACATACTGCCATACTCATCTAGAATCATCGTCATACCGTGAAAACAATACAAAACAACAACTGTAACTACAATAATAACAACAATGAAGGTAAAACCGCTTTTGACATAGCTAGTACACTATACGTCTGAATGAAAAGGCCTGCGAATTTTAGACTGTAAGGTGAGTGGGCCCGCGTCATATCAAGTTTATATTTTTTTATGATTCTAGCTCCTAGTTAATCGGTGTAAAATCTCTGAATGCTTTATAAGTGATTCCATGTTATATTGAGCCACGTTAGATCAGGTCTGAAGTGTACTTAGAAATGTATGCACGAATGCAAGATACGTATATACTCATATAACACACCTAGTTAATCGGTCTCTGAATGCTTTATAAGTGATTCCGTGTTATATTGAGCCACATTAGATTGGGTCTGAAGTGTATTTAGAAATGTATGCACGAATGCAAGATACTCATATAACGCACAGCATTCAGGGACAGCTGAAGATCACGTTTAAGTAACTCAGATGACAAACGCACTATAAGGTTTTGCATGTTGAAACAGTATATGCACTACAAACGTCTAAACATCGGTGACAGTGGGGACACGTTACCAGGGTCGTTGGGTTGGGTTGTGATAGTGGAGACGCGTTACCAGGGTTGTCGGGTTGTTACAGTGGGAACACGTTACCAGGGTCGTTGGGTTGATACAGTGGGGACACGTTATCAGGGTCGTTTGGTTGTTACAGTGGGGACACGTTACCAAGGTCGTTGGGTTGTTACAGTGGGGACATGTTACCAGGGTCGTTGGGTTGTTACAGTGGGGATGCGTTACCAGGGTCGTTGGGTTGGGT